CACTGCTAACCCTATTCATGGAACCTATGAAAACACAGAAAGAAGCCATCACCAAATATTGATAAGTTCATTAGCAGTGCACTTTTCTTCTGTTAAAGTCATAGTGCACCTTTTGCAAACAATAAATATACCCAAACAATTGAAAAATAAATGTGCCTTTATTCTTTTTTGCGCTGGAGCCATAATCAGTGGCTTGAGGGTGCACTGCTCTGGCTCGTGCCGACCGTTTCCTCGACCTCAGGCCCATACTGAGGACTTTCTGTTATGGGACTGGAGGAAGCAATCAATGGATTACAAGTGCGGTAACGTCACAATTTTTGTGCTCCATTGAGATCTAAAAGTCCCTCGGCCAAACTGGCAGAGAAGACTTAAAGGAGAACTATGGGGTTAAGGCTTTTCCCCATAGTTCTCCTTGGGGTAACGGGAGGACGCAAACTAGCGTCCTCCCGTCACCCTAGGCTCAGTATACCGCGAGCTGCAGCTCGTGGTATACTGAGACGCCGCGGTATAACGCGAGCTGCAGCTCGCGGTATACTGAGGCGCCGCAGCTGAAGCGGATCCCGACAAGTGTGCCGGGATCCGCCCAGCTGCGCGACTGACAGCTGGCTCTGCCTATCTAGAGGCAGAGCCAGCTGTACCCGCCCCCTCCCCCGTCCGTTCCGCCAGTCAGCGCTGGCGGATCGGAGGGGGAATCCAGGGGTTTGAGGCTGGGGAGTGTGACCATGTTTCATTTTACACTCTATATACCTGTAACATAAAACATGGTCACAAAGGTAGAATTAGCCTATACATAACGACTTTTTTTTATTTTGGATACAGTGGATAAGGGATCGTACCTCTGTCAGATCTGTGTCCCCACTGGCCAGGTTTCACAACACTATTTTTCCTAGACAATATGGACACAAACTTAAACAACAGTGAACTAGGGGAAAGGTTAGAACTTCTGTTGGGTTGCTATTGCTGTCTGTGTCTTCCTGCTCCAGTGACAACCACTCCCCACATTTCTTCAATTCTTGCGCTGTTGTCACAGGGACAAGGTGAAATCTCCCCAACAGGGTTACAGTAACTTTTAATATGTATTTACTTTTCCTAAAGCTGGCCATACAGCTTACAATTATCTGCAGATTTTCTGTGGTCAGATGGAAAAGGTGCAACAGATTCCTCCATCTACACTTAACTGTGTGGATGGAGTAATCTCCACCTGGGCAAATCTGTTGCACTTTTTCCATCTGACCACAGAAAATCTGCAGATAATTGTAAGGTGTATGGGCACCTTTAGTCTATACAAAATAAAAAACAAGTGTAAAGCTGGCCATACACCTTACGATTATTGTTCGATTTCTTTCATCCCGTCATTGAACCCTCATTCGATTTTCGCACTACTGCCTATCATGCACAGACCAGTGTAGATTTACATTATCATTTGTTAACAATACTAGCAGGCCGAATTTTGTCGATCGATGAATGGATTTTCGTTTGCGCATGTGCAGTTTTCATGTTGTGATTTTTTTTCTGTACGAAAATGCCACTAATCCATCAATTTTTGTACAATACGGAAAAAGTTTTTCAGCCTGACTGATCGAGGAAATTCGGCCAGTTGTACAGTAATACTGATCGTTCACTTCCCATCAACTGTCCGATTATCGTACCAAAACCCCGATCACGTTCGATTTCCAAGCGATAATTGCAAGGTGTATGGACACCTTTAATGCTTTGGCTTGAGTTGGGCTTTAGCGCATTGTATGTACATATATCACTATTTGGTGCACTGGGTAGCTGACATACCTTGGACCTTGTTCACCAGACAAAAATAGGACCAAAGAGGAAGCCATAACCAAAATAATGCTGAGCATGCACTGTGCACATTTTATCAGTAGACTTTCTGATAACAGATAGGCAGTGCAGCTGCTGGACAAATAAGAATGCTCACCGGCGCTATTGATTTATCTTTATTACATATCAGTGACTTTCCTATGACATGTTTTACAATGCTACTTGAGGACGGACTTCTGGAATGTCCTCATATGCTTGATCTTTTTTTTACTAGACAAATACGTTTTTAATGAATCACTGTTATTTGATGTGGACCTGTGCTCAAATGTTAACCCAAAGTGAATCTGTCATCACCTTACTTCACTTATACTAATGGTGGCTTCATGCAAGATTAGATACCTTGTACATGCTAAGGGCTGGGGAGCTAAAAGATACAAATGGTTTCTGAACGAGAACATGTCCGATTGGAGTTTTGAAAGCTGCCATTCCTACCCAGCTTTTGAAGGAACATGATCTGTGACGGTCATCCTACTAACTTATCTGTAACAAGCACATGTGGGTAAGTGATCCCAACACTTGTTAATGCATATGTTTGTTCCGTGTCAGTGGCAAACCTAGTAATGAAGGGGGTATAAAGATGACAGCCCTGGATCTTTTGCACGGGGCCTATGGTTGTTCACTATTTGTCAGGGAGGCTGTCAACCACAAGGATGACACAGCAATGTATCACAGATGTTAGGAGAGGAACTGAAGTAGGTATTTGCATATTAAAAGCTACCAGAGATTTAGTGCTCCTGGGGAGCTCTACAGGGTATCTGACCATATGCCAGGCACTTCTAGGTACCTTCTATTCATGGCTTCCTGCGGTTTAGTGGAAACAAAGTAAGCACAGGTTCATTTAAACTGTTAATAGTCTTTCTGCAGTAGATAAATGAGAAGTAACAGAAGGGCTAATATACCTTCCTTTCCTAGAAATTTGGTCTCGTAACCGGCACTAGAGGGAGTTTGGGGCAAAGTTTTCTCCTAGAGATGTTAGGACTGATAATATAGCTTTAATATTGGAGTATACTGTAGGTCTGCTTTAAGCAAAACAGTTGCAGTGACAGGAAATATTACTATCAAATACTAAACTCTTGCCATTTTACTTCATCTACCACAGAGTCCAGTTGGAACCCATGCACAAGCCAATTTCCAGCCATGTCCGGCTGCTTTACACTGTCCTGACCTATAATTCCGACAGGACAGAAAATCTTGTTTCATGGTGTCTGTTTCATGTGCGATCATCGTGCAACTTTTTCTGTTTATTCCATACATAATTCATAGATGTGACAGGATTGAGAAATAACTGGATTGCACTGACTATGGTCAAATTGGTTAACGATTTGGCTCCCACTTTGACTTTACATGTATAGCCAGTTTAAAGGTGCTCACAGACATGAGATGACAGTTTGCTGATTCAGACACTTTAAAGATCTCATGTCGACCTTTAAGACACCACTAACCAATCTTTCCTGAGTAGAATCATTCATCTGTTCCAATCGCTATTGCTCCCTCCACCCGTGAACATTGATGCTGCCTCCTTTTTCCTTCCTTTGCTGAGCCAAACATACAACTTTATGGAATGCTCAGTGCTTTACCCTGATAGAAGTCAGACCTAAACTATATAGGTGGCTTTGTAGTGAATTATTCCAGGGGTGATCTTAGGTCTGGAGCTAAATACTGCATATTTAAAAGGAAGGGACCCCTGACTTGAGCACTGCCTAGAGCCCTTCAATCAATGTGTCCCTCACCACTTACAATGAAATATGAAACTCCACAAGAAGTCTATAAAATCTCTGTAACTGTTTCAGTTGGCTGTGGCTTTTTCATGTCTCAATTTTATTAGAGTCTATCCAGTGGTGCAGTCTTGCAGAAACCCAGTAACCTTAACAGAATACATCTAAAAGTCATAGCTATCAATGGATATTCCCAAATTGTACCATTGCGTATGAATATTTCTATGCCTAAAATGTAAGTGTAAGCTGTATATGTTTTTTTTAAGGATACTTAGTTCAAAAAGGAAAAAAAATGGACAAATTGCACTAAACCATAAAAAAACAATAAGAAGTCATATTTTATTACCGTGGTAGCCCATGGTGGCTTTTAGACAGAAGGGTATTGAAATGGAACTTGTATTCTTTGCTCAGATATGCTGAATACCTTTAGTGATTCCAGGATATTATGAAGCATCTGAAGATCTTGTGGTCATCACATGTTATTTTAGCTCACTCTGTTGTTAAGGGGAGCATTGTCGTGTAGACTTGTTCGCTGGATAATGTGGTTGGCAATATGTCGCAGGCATCATATGTGCAAATGAATATCAGTTTCACCACTTTTAAAAGTAAACAATACAAAATAAAGGAAACTTTGTTTAAAAAATTAGCCCTTTAGGCATTTATTGTACACAAAAATAAATAAATTACAATTTACAAAGCAAAAGCACAAATGGCTTTTAAAGTGCAATTCATAAAAGTGTCAGCCTCATCCTTGATCATCATCGGCTAACTAAGAGACAGTGACAGTTCATCAGCCATATATCTCCCATAGTAACATTGAAATGAAACATAGCACCCCCTAATATCTGAAGATGTAAGCCCCCAGAACATGACTTTTACCACAGGAAAGGAAGTGCAGATACAAAGCACATATACACAATGCCTTACAGACAGACTCCGCTGAAGACTCAGCATGTGGTGCCACATGAATACGCCCACACTTGTTGTAGGCATATTATGAGTCAAAGCCACATGTGTCCACTGTTGTATTACCACCGCCAGGCAGAATATCTTCTTATACAAATGGACATTGTGACATTCATCCGCTGAAAATAGCACTTTGTAATATATAAGAATACAGTTATGACATTTACACTGTGGTAAAATGAAAAGGAAAAAGGGGATGTTTCCTACTCCAACTTCCCACTGTAATAGTACTTAGTGTGAATCCCATTTTTGAGTCCACAAAATGTGCATTGCATTTCATCCCACATTTCAGGTGGCCATGCCATTGCAGCCGGTCATTTTCCTGAAATTTGATGTCCATATGCCACTTAATCCACTGTTCAGCTTGGCTCCTCTATGCCGCTTTCACAACCTCTCCTTTCAACCTCTCTCCTCATATCTGTGCTGCCCTCACAGCCAGCAATGTCAAAGTTATCCATGTTAGCACCTTTACATGCTCTCTTTTATTTTCTGGAAGAACAAAAACAACAGCTGCCTCAGACGCTCTTCAAACAGACGTAGCAGTTCTCACTTTGGCAGACAGGACTTGTTTAAAGCGTCTTTTCAAGTCCTGCATGTTTGGAGATTTTGGCCGTGGGATGAGAGAATTTTTCCTCTTCTCCGGCGTGGTTGTGACCTGGTGCTTGCTGATCTCTTTACAAAGGACCTGAAAGGCGTTATAAACATCAATATAGTTCTCGCTGACGCTGACTTCGTAGAAAGTGCAGCCCAGCATGTTGGCCAGCTGTAGTCCATGCTGTGGTTCCACCTGCTTGAGGTGCAGCAGGTCCGCTTTGTTGGCCACAATAACAATAGGAACTCTGTTGTCTGGGTGGAGCTGGCGCACATGCTGGTGAAGGTGGCTAATAAGTTCATAGCTCTTACAGTCTGTGATCGAGAAGACTATGACCACAGCGTCTGCCCATCTGATGGATCTGTTAAGCTGCTCATTGCACTCCAGGCTTTGCTCGTGTATCTGGGGAAGGAAAAAAAAAAGAAAAAAATAAGGTGACCTGTTAAAACAATTTAGAGGGAACACAGCTTTTCTAATGTACTACTGAGACACCAGTTCCAAAAGTACTTAAGTGCTGCAGAAGATGTATGCAATATCAATCTGTCTGCTCCTTCACCCTCCTAACCCAATGTATGTTGATGCAGCTGCAAAATCTGGAATCAGATACAGCGGAGTTTTCTACTCTCAGGAGGAATGTACAGCAAAGAGAGAGAAAGATTTTGTAGTGGGGCAGGAAGGGAAATGAGCTGGCTAGACAGTGAGTCTGGAAAGTAAGGAGATATAAGCTGGAAGCAGTTACATCTGGACAGCTGCCCATTCTCAACTGCTGTAACTAGACAAATTTCTGGGAGCGCACATAGCCATCCCGGGTGGACTAGACAGAATGGCAATGAAATGAGCCTATACGTGTCCCCAGTTCCAGACCATTTACAGCATTTAGATTCAGTTCACGAGTTCACAGATTCACCTACAGTACTCCCACGCAGACGTTTTTTTTTTTGTATCCGTTTGAACTGTTTTCTTAGGATAGCGAGCACACAGCTCAGCGATGTGCTGTAGCATTGGAGTTAAAAAGCTCTAATAGAATAGTAACCAAGCAGTACCTACTACTCCCTGTCCAAAAGGCTTACACTGAGCGACTGAAGGAACTAATTACAAGTTTGTGCCCCATAAACAGCTGAAGGATTAGCAGAGATGGTGACATTGTACATCAGAAAGTGGATTTACCTGAACACCTGGCGTGTCCTGCACCTGGATGGCGAGATTCATTCCATCGATCTGCACTTGTCTGCTGTACAGGTTTCCTGAGAAAACAAAGATGTGTTTCATTAGGGAAGAGTAGAAATGTTTGATGGAACATACAGACGGTTTCTGTTGGTTTGCATTATATGTTCTGATCATTATGGTAATACCAACAGGTCAATACATAAATCGTCAGTGCTTACCTGCATTCCTCTCATAGTCGCCAATAAACCGCTTGGTGAGAAATCTGACCACCAGAGCTGCAAGGAACGAAACAAGAGAATGGTAAGTTGATTGGAAAGCTGAAAAAATGCCACATCCCCACTACACCATGAACATATTCCTTCTCTGCCGGCTCTCTAGAAGTCAGAGAGCTGCAGGTTGCATCTCCTCAAACAGTGATTGTTTTACATTACAATACCCCCACACCGGTGCTGACACAATTAGTGGGGCACTCACATAGTAACTACTAGGGAAATGCCTATTAGCGCAGAACAATTCTACTGATATCAACATAAACTATGTGATTATCTAAGCAATTCCTGAATACCACCACTGCCTTCATGCTGAGCATCACTGAATGATCTTATACATAGTATATGTAGTGATGGATTGTAAAGGTGTATTAAAAAAACGAACTAACGCTGCTGCGTATAATAATAAGCGAAACATAACAACTACATTCATTGATCAATTCTACTGCAAAGACTCATTCAAGAAATTTATTGGAAAACGTATCCTATTCTATGTATATACTGCCACCCATCAAAATAAAAACATTTACAGGGAGATGAGAGAGGGGGGAAGTGAGAAAGGAAAAGGAGAGAGAAAGAGTAGACAGGGAAAGAAAAAGAAAGAGAGAAAAGGAAAAGGAGACAGAGAGAGAGGAAAGAAAAGAAAAGAGAGGAAAAGGGAAAGAGAGAGGAAAGAAAATGAAAGAGGGAAAATGAAAAAGAGACAGAGAGAGAGGAAAGAAAAGGAAAGAGAGGAAAGAGAAGAAAAGGAGAGAAAGGAAAGAAAAGGAGACAGAAGAATCTAGGAGAGACAAGAGAGATAAATAAGCCCCTTCATGATTGCCAGTGACTCACCTGTCTTGCCCACTCCACTGCCCCCAACCACAGCAATCTTGATGACTCTGCTGCTGCCATTGCTGGTGCCCGCACAGTCGGTGCCCGCAGCCGATGGGCACTCGGATATAGTGCACATGTTCTGGATCAGACGCATTTTGCAGAGATGTGAGGTCGGTGCAGCTTGTATAGACTTGTGCTGGCTGCAGATGGGATGCCTGTGTGTGCTAATCGTGTGTTGAGTACCAGTGGTGAGTACAATCCCAGCCGTCCCCTGTCCTATGATCCCAGCTCTCCTAGTCCTATGCCCCTCTACTTTCCTCCTCCAGACCGCTCTGATCTACACTCCGCACAGCCGGCTGTTTTGTTTAAGAAGAGACAGCAGTGAGGTCCCGCCCCTTCTATCCTGACAGCCAATCAGAGCCTCCATCACATTAGGTTGGTCCTCCCTCCTCCTGGTATTTTGCTCCAGCCTGTGTGTTGTGTAATATTGACATGCACTGTCTGTGGGGGACATACATAGCTTTCCATAATGATTTTCCTGCTCACAACGTTGCATGACTGCCATGAAAAATGCTCTCTGCTTTGATCGTTAATTATTCTTCAGTCTCTGTGACGAATGAACAACACACAGGACTCAGCTGTCAGATCCTTAGGTGTTATGTACTACGAGCTCCATGTGATTAATGTGACATAACACGAGGTCTTTTTGTGGATGGATGGACAGTGACAGATGGAGGCACTACACAGCCCAGCATGCCCAGACTCTAAAACCTGGGCTCTGCTAGCTAGGCTACAGACTAAGCCAACCAATCAGATTTGACTTGTCTGCAATTTAGCTGAAGACGACATGGGCGATTTATAATCACGTAATTGCGCGGTTAATATCTTGCAAGTGATGACTTAGCACTGGAGATTTGATATTTCCATCAATTCAAACACTCAATTCTGTAATTTAGATTTATCATGGAAATTATTCAAAGATAATCTCCCATTATTATTATTATAAACCTGAACATCAGTAGGAGATGAATCGCCCCAACAACAATATATATCGCCTACCGGAGCAGCAGTGACGCGACGCTCGGCGAGGTAAGTAAGAAGACGCGCTGGCGCTGACTCGAGTATAAGCCGAGGGGGGCACTTTTCACCCAAAAAAATGGGCTGAAAATCTCGGCTTATACTCGAGTATATACGGTACATATTCTACACATCAGTCCCTGGCCTAAAGGAGCTTACAATCTAACTTCCCTATATATCATGCATACATGCACAGACACCAATTCAGACAGGATCCAATTATCCTACCAGCATGTCTTTGGAGTTTTGAAGGAAAGCCACGGAAGCATGGGGAGAACATGCAAACTCCATGCAGATAATGTGCTGGCTTAGATCTAAACCCGGGGACCCCCAGTGCCACAATTACATTTCTGACCATTTATCCTAATGAGACCAATCTTCCATAAAGAACCATACACCAGACAATATGGCGTGTGCTATTTTCTTCTATGGCGGCATCAGACGGTTTCGGGTTATGAATAGGAATCATAGACTTTCCACACACAGCCAACAGATCTATGGAAGGGGTTTAACATTGGTTGCTATGGGTTACAGCGCTGCAGTGCTCTTTACACATGCCCTGGAATGTAGAGAACAGATAGCGGACATAGAGAATAGAGGGAATGATTGTAAAGTCTTGTCTTAAATTGTATTGTAACTTCATATTGTAAAACACTGTCCAAAGTGTTGGTATTATAGAAATCCTGTATATAATAATAATAATGTCCTTTATTAGATAGCAGACTCTGATAAAACAATGAACACGCAGAACACAATTTGTTTCCATCAGAGAACTTGTCTTTCTTTCTATGAGGATTGCTGAGGGAAAATAAATCTCTCACACTGCTGTTGCCATGCTGCAAATCCTCTCCTTGTTGAATCCTCTAGATTAGAATGTTCAGCATAGAAGTGATCATTTAGTATTGTCCTCCATCACCTCAATGTCACATATTGCCGGCTTCTTCTAATGATGACATTTTCTCATTTCAGTTACTGAAATCTGTGTTGCATAATACATATTTATGTTTATTATAACACAATGCTGATTTATTTCACACCAGCAGCCATCAGTCACCCTCATTCGTGTTTATTATAATACAATGCTATCCAATGACACTTCCCAGAAACTCCACCCAGGTAATCTAAGACCTCACCCCAATCTAGTTAATTGCATACACGTTTACAACCAAGGTTATGGTGGGTTTTTTTATGAGGACTCAGAAGGTTTAGAAAATCGTATAAATTTATTGATTTCATAAAAGGTGTTTTCATAGTAAAAGTTAAAAACATTGCCAATAAACAAACATGATTGTCAGGTCCCTAAATTCCTTGTCTATTTTTATATCATACATATTTCATATTCATTTCATAATGTAAATCATAGTGTTACATATGTAGAATTGTATCGCTCCATTGATCCCCTACGCGTTTCACATTTGAGCTTCCTCAGGGGGTTCTGTTTCCCAACAAGAATCCAGGGATCAGAGAAACTTGAACCGCGGAGCCACAGATGCACACAAAGGTCCGATGGAATTTTAGTATCTTTAAAGTCTTTAAAGTTTCCTGCTCCAAGTCCACCCGTTTGTTGTTTGTTTCCTAATGAATCCAATCAGTACCTCCACCTCTTGTGTGTGCCTCTCTCACTCACACTATAATACAATACCAAAGTGTTTCAGGCCACCCTGCCAAGCTGCTAGACCCCCCTGGTGCCCAATCTGCGGACTGAGAACCAGATGTGGAGCTTTGGTGCTTGCAGTGGGGCCCTTGGACCCTGGCAGTCAGTATGGTGAGCATTGCTATGTAAAGGGGCTGTAATAGCAGTAATCTCTAGCAGTCTCATGTAACAGGTCCCTAATCTCTGACTGTCCCTTACAGCATGACTCCAGTCTAATGTAGCACAGTCTCTGAGCATTTTCTTCAGTAGGTATTCAGTCTATGACAGTCATATGAATATTACATGCTGCTCTTTGGTGACATGAGTGGCCACATATGAGGTCCCCTACACCTCATAAATTGACCACCACTGTGCTAGCCGTGTAAAAGAAGTGAAAAGTCTCCCTGGCTGCCGCTAGAGGGATAAGACGTTCAGTTTTCAGTGACACCTCTCCTCTCAGCTGTGTGCCGCCCTATGCTGTTTATGGCTGGCAGGCTTCCATGTGTTTGCATGAAATTCACTTGGCAGCTGCTTCCCTCTGTACACATTCATCAGTCAGAAATTCCTCTTTCAGATTCCAGGTCTGCCAAGCTTTGCAGGCGGGAACACAGCTCATATCCCGCCTGGTGGATGAAATGTGCTCTATCACAGGGACAGCAGTACTGTGATTAACAGGGTTATTCACAAAAGGGTGATACGTTTGGAGAAGGGAGGAGAAGTGAACAATCTAGGACAACATAGCTGAACTGGAAAAAGTCTCCAATTCAGCTCACTTTCCAGTTCAGCGATGTTGTCCTAGATTGCTCACTTCTCCTTCCTTCTCCAAACTCTTCACGCTTTTGTGAATAACCCTGTTAGAGTAATACAGGCGGCCATTGCTGGCTGCCTTCAAACCTCTTCTCTATTGCCTGGGCTCATTTGTCCCACTGACCTGAACCTGTCACCGCATCTACATTTCCTTGTTTGTTGTGGGTTCATCTGTGTTCTTTGATGTCTACTATACCTTTGTATTTATTAGCATGTTTTTTCTGTTCTTTGTATGGAACCATGTCTGAACAATTAGAGATGAGTGGTTTGTATGAAACAATGGCTGACATGGAAATCTGTCTCCTGTCTGTGCAACACATGGTGCAACTTGCGACAGATTCATGTGACAATGTAAGGGGTATATGAATCTGTTGCAGAATTTTGTCTGCGACACAATAGTTACATATGCGACACAATTTACTCCAGCATGGAAGAGGACTTAATTACCACCATTTTCCTGATCACCAATATGACCATATTTCCTATTGAATTTATCAAAGCCATAGCACAAGAATGTAACACTACATTCACACCCCTATAATGTGTGCCTAGGGATTCCTGCAGCAAGAACCTATAGAATCCCAGGCTTCCCTGTTCAGATGCGGCCGCTGTACCCATTCAAGTTAATGACAGGGTTTACAGCGGCCTCCTCTGTCAGGAACAGTCTGTCTGTAATCATAGGTGGAACGATTACCTCCCTGGACACAGACAGATTGTCCCTGGAGACAGACAGATTGTCCCTGGACACAGACAGATTTTGCCTGGACGTAGACAGATCGCATCCAGGGAAAACCAGTTATCCTGAACCGCAGGTTCCACGTACGATTAAATGCAGACTGCTGCTGACAGATGCGGCTGCAGTCACCTCATCATTAACTTGAACAGGCACAGCGGCTGCATCTGTATAGACACACCTTGGATTCTTACCGCAAAAATCCATAGGTTGTTGATACTAGACATGTGCACGGCAAAAAAAATGGTTTTCGGACGAAACAAATGAAAACAAAAAACGTTTTCATCCATTTCATCAAAGGAATCAAATTTCTATGTTGTTTTGGATTCGGAGTCAACGAGCCTCCAATTCCGAAACCGCACACTGAAACTGCAGAACGAGCGGTGGCCATATCAGCCGCCGGCGCGTTCTGCTCATGCGCGCCGCCATCTTGGAGCGTATCTTGGTATACACCAAGATGAAAGCGCCCGCATGTTCGAGCGACGCCATCTTGGTGTATACTCCAAGATGGCGGCGCGCATGTGCAGAACACTCGAGCGACCGATATGGCCGTTCTCGTTCAGCATGTGACGTCAGCATGTAAAAACTGTTGCATTTCTTTCATGAATTTGGCACAGGACTACAGCCATGACGCCAGAAAAGTGTTGCAATTGAATCACCCTGTGAGTGTTTTCCAAAGCTACCTATGATAGCTACTATTGCTACCCATGGCTAACACAGTACAGCACTGTATTGCCTTCTGTGCATAATAGTTACTGGGCTGACTGATTTTAAGGACCTGTCTTGACGGGTTTTGTTCATGTCAGCTCCATATTCTAAATCATTATGTTTGAGCATTGAAGAAATAGGGTCAGTATGATTGCCAGGCAAAAAAAACTGTTTCAGGAGGAGATACCCAGAGCCAGCTTTCATACTGTATATCTCTCATAACAGGTCTGAAGGGCATAACTGACATAACATGCCATCAGATTACTATGAGGCCCAGAAGCACAGGGGGCCCAGCACTGTCTGGCTGCACAGTGGTTTATGCAGGTAACAGTAGCATTTGGCGAATACATTTAAAGTGTAACTGAAGCCAAAACTGTTTTTTTTAGCTTTGGATAGTTTGGAGAGACATTAGAACCCCTGTCAGTTTTGCACTGCTGTCTGTGTCCTCATTAAGGAGATTTACACGCTCTATATGTTCTAGTGATTGTTATTACGGAAAGTGAAAGGGAAAGAAAATCCCAAATTTTGGGTTGTCATCAGAACAGGAATAGATGGGAAATCTTCCAATGGTGACACTAGTTCTGGTGATCCTGCTGACTATCAAAAATTGTCTTTATATTGGAGGGATGTTCTCTCACTTCTTGTTGTGTCTGTCGCAGTGAAACCTCACCAATGCATCACAGATAACAAAAAAAAAAACCCTGACGGGGTTATATTATAACCCTTCCTTACTCTGACAGGAAACAATACCGGCTACTCCACGTGCAATATCGGCCACTTGAAATGGTAACGAACACACTGAAGAGGCAGCTCCCACAGGTCAAAGGACCTTCAATACTCTATCCAAAACCTAAAAACATGTTTTGGCTTCAGTTTTACTTTAAACATATTCAACAATGAAAGCACAATGTGCAATGTAGAGTAACCCATCAAATGCAATCAGTCATTATCTTTCAGTGGTTTGACTTTAGCAAGTCAATGCTATAGGTAACTACATATTGAACATTAGAAATGCTTAGTGTTCCTAAGGAAAATGCATTTTGTGGCCAACTATCTGAAGTGCATGGTGGTCAGCTGTATGGAGACTATCATCCATGTGTTTGACTAACTACTTTACCACCATTTGTGACATGTTATGTGCTCCCTGATGACCTCTCAATTCCATACTTTCAGCTATTTTGCTGCTAGGCACTCCTCTTTCTATATGGGTCAGTCTGAAAAAACTCTTTTACACCATTACTCTTACAACACTGAGGGCCGAGGTCATAAAGCAGGACCTCCCATGTTACTGCCACACTTCAGTTCTTGAACTATATCTGTACATTTCTAACCAATAGCAGGGACAATATAGTTGAAGGATGAAGTAAAAAATAAGTAAATATTATTATGTACCTGTTTTTGAAGCACTGCTTAGTCTTCATAGGCCCATTGCATTGTTCATGTCCTCCAGGTCTCCATAGGTCACATCTTTGGTGGTTGTCTACTCAGCATTACAGATTGGAATGGGAAGGGGGCATCAAGGTCTGTATTAGACGGGCTGGTGCTGATTAATGATCAGCCTTACATAGACTATACCTTGTGTTACTACTATAGTAACAGAAAAATATTTCTGACGTTTACAGCAGTCACAACAATAGACCTTGTTAAATAAAGTGTTTCAGACTGGCCAATAACCACATTTATACTTTCACATCTAAAATTTCTATGGAAGGTGTTATAAGTAATACAAACAGTTCTTAAGCTGGCCATACACTATGTGAATTTCGGTCGGTTCTTGATACAATTTGGCAAGTGGGTGCCGCTGTGGACACCGTTTAGGCCATCATCCCTCGATCTGCTGATCGAAGGAATCGGCTGGAAAATCTTTGAATGAACAGAGCCTGTGTTCTATCGAACGTTCCAACTCCTCGAGGTCTCCAACCATCTGACTACCGGTTTACTTAGAAGTAAGAGGTTTGGCCGAGAAGGCTGTACTGCACTTGCGCCACCAGCGGCATTTCCCTATACATATACTACACAGCAATAAAGTATTAAAATTAACTAGGGTCACAATAATACAGCACGTTATTCATCTGAGTTGCCCCGCTCAATATGGCCGCAAGCGAAATACAGTGCAAACAGCAGGAGATTCTGTAACAATAGGAGACTATAATATTTTCTTTGTTCAGTCTGCAGGTTGAATGAAGAAAATATTACAGTTAATAGCCAACTGTATCTGAGGCAGTTTAAAATGGCCCGATGATCATTGCTTACTGTACTTTAATGGCCCTATGATTATTGATTGTTTTACTGTACTTTGCACATTCCTCTTTTGTTAGGGTTGAAGGTTAGTGTTAGTTGGATCATGGTTGAGAGTTAGGAGTTAAAGTGTATCTAAACCCAAGAACAAGAATGTAATATATTTCAGCCTATCAGTCCTTAGATGTTGTGGCTGCCTTCGTTTCCTTCTTTTTAGGCTGATCCTTCCAGTAAAGCACTTCCAATTACTTTTTCATCTCTTCCTTTGTGCAGATTGCAGAGCAGGTAAAGAGGAGAATGATATACTGTAAAGACATACAACATGGCTGCATATCTGTCATTCAGTTCAGCTATTTTAATCGTTTTGTTCTTTCTTACAAAATTACGCTAAAGATTTGTATGTTTTTCCTCCCCTCCTCATCCTCGCTATTTTTAGATTTGGCACTCTTCAATGGATATAATCATAACAACCTTTCAGTTATAAAATGTGTTTGAGAAAAAAGCAAAGTACCTAAATTTTAACTGCTGGCTCTTTATCCTACATAATAAATCACATACACTGTTGTGTACACGTGCTGTGCAAGTATGTATCATCAAACTGGTGCAGATAAAATTGTTATGATTGGTTATAACCCCCAGTGTGATTTTGGCATTCAGTGTTTTAGGAAAATTAGGATATAAAAATTTGGACTGGTTGATTATTATGGCCAACGCTATTAAAGGGTCTATTCATGGAGCATGGACAAATCCATCCATGTTCACCTTCCTTGACTTGCCTGCATTTGTCATACACATTTGCTTGTATCGTTAGGTGACTGTTGAAGAGGGTGAATGATGGTCATCCAAATGAAGTTATTGGGTGAATGTATAACAATTGTGGACTCAGGCAGCAGGCCAGTGCAGGCCCCAATAGGATGAACAGAGAATGTAATCTTTGTGACAAATGTAACATTTACACTAAAGTGTATTTCAAATTTTTTTTGAAACAAGTGCATTTGCACATTTTGTGTTTACATTTTTCCTTCCCTTATAGAAAAAAAAAGTTTTGGGGCATTCTTTGTTCATTTTCATCAAAATCCATGCTATATGTGTATTTGTGGGTACCATTAAAGGGTATCTTTGATCAAAAACTATATTGAATTTCTACAAGTTCTAATAACCATATTCATCTAGAAGTTTGTAAACTTACTGAAGATGTCCATAGGATGTACTTCCTCAATGCTATGGCACAATTTCAGTCCGGTGAATATGCACTTCCTTGTGTCACAAAGTCTGTTGTCCAAACTACAACTCAATTCTTTCTCAGAGGAAGCAGCCTCAATGTAACTTCATCATTACTTGCTGGAAGCAATGCATTATGGGATATGTAGTCTTAAGAAATGGAGATTGCATCACATCAAGCAGCAGGGAAAGAGATGCAAAGCACAGTGGGAACCCAGGAAGTTGGTGAAGGTGATGGGCAGACAGAAGGCAGCACTCACTACATAACAGGGTTTTTTTTTCGAGTAAGCTTTGATTGCATTATCAACAACAACTTTACTATGTATTCCTATCACAATGCTGATGTTATAACAGGATAGTGCATGCTGGGACTTTACAACTCCTTTAATTCAGTGATCCATCTTTGTTTTAAAAGAATCTAGACTGCAAGTTTGAATTTAGAAATGTACTTGACCCACAAAATGTAAATTTAGAAAATACTGTATTCCTTATGGACTCCGCAGTGACAGATGACATGGAGGGTCATTTATAATACATAAAAGGCACATATTTTGGGTTATCTCAGTGCCTATGAATACAGTTTACTGCTGTCAAATCTGTAGAAATCTGTACGCCCCCTGTTTTGTCTGCTGGCTGTAAGCTCCTGGACATGCCTCTACAAGCTACCACAACTTCCCACACTCTTGTCACTGTGATGCTCCCCAATTGTGATTGATCACTGTATAAGCCCTGACCTGAGGTGTTGTCTAGCAGGCTCCCAGCTGACTGTCTACAGAGCTTACAGGTGATTTCTGACAACTTGGAACTGAAGAAATTTCCTCTTTGTCAGAAATCATCCTCTTCACCAACACATGGAGGTGAAAGCACCTTCTGGAAAAGTTTTAAAAAAACTGGATCAAAAACAAAAACTGGATCAAAGGAAACAAGTGAAGGATCTGATGAGCCTGGGTGACATGTGTTGCAGAGCAGGTATCTGTGGGCAGGAAGTGGGGGTGAGAGAGCTGAGGGAAAGGGGTAGCAGTGCCAGGGGGACAGCAGGCTGTATATACTCTGCAATTGTTGCTTCTGACCTCTGCACTGTGTGTTACTCCCAACCTCTGAGCTCTGTATTATTGAGGGCCCGTTCACACCATCCAGTGCGTTTATCGCACAATCCCGTGGGATAAACACACTGGATCGCATAAACAAAGCCTCCCCACGTTCTGGGGTAGGAGGGGGGCGTGGTGGTGCCATTCATTTCAGTGGCACCACAGACACGCCTCCCATCTGCAGTGCGATATGCCTCACCGGAATGGGTGGTAACCTGCGTCCCAGTGCGGTGCGATTGCACAAAATAGTGCATGCAGAAGTGCAATAGAGCGTGTTACTCCTGACCTCTGTACTCTACTTTATTTACTCGTGACCTTTGATTTCTGCCTTATTTACTGCTGAACTCTGCGATACCTACTCCTAACCTCTGACCTCTGCATTATTTACTACTGCACGCTGCATTATTTACACTTGACCTCTGCACTTGTGTTACACCTGACCTCTGCACTCTGCCTCATTTACTCTTGACCTCTGCACTGTGTGTTACTCCTGACCTCCTCTGCACTCTGCCTTATTTACTCTTGACCTCTGCGCGGCATGTTACCCCTTGCTTCTGCACTCTGCATTATTTATTCCTGACATCTGCACTCTTTCTTCTTTACTCCTGACCTCTGCACTGCATGTTACTCCTGACCGCTGTACTCTGCCTTATTTACTCCTGACCTTTGAATTCTGCCTTTTTTACTGCTTAACTCTGCGATACCTACTCCTGACCTCTGATCTCTGCATTATTTACTGCTGAACTCTATGTCCTCTACTCCTGACCTCGGAACCCTGCCTTACTTACTCCTTATGCTGAATTCTACATTTCACTTGACCTCTGAACACTGCAATACATACTCCTGACCTCTGGACTCTGCATTATGTACTCCTGACTTCTGCACTCTGCATTATGTACTCCTGACCTCTGCATTCTGAATTACTTACTCCTGAACTCTGCGTTACATGTTTCTGACCTCTGAACTCTGAGTTATTTACGCCTGACCCCTGCACTCTGCATTATTTACTCCTGACCTCTGTACTCTGTGTTACTCCTGACCCCTGCACTATATAATTTACATAGTTCTAATCCCTGCACTCTATACAGAGGCTCACGTTTTTAATTTTCCCACTGCAATTTTGCCACACCCACAATTTGCCACATACCCAACCTCACTCCTCTCCTCTTGGTGGCTGGGACAGGTAGGCTGTATGGGGCCCCATGAATTCTAATGGTAGCCCTGGTAGCCATGCCCAGCTGCTCCAGATTTTGTCTGCTCCAGTTTTGATAAATTCCTCTTAATATATTGTCTTAATATGAAGAACTGCTAAAGTAAACTTGACACAAGAAAAACACGGAGGCTGCTATTGCTGGCCTTCTTCAGAAAATGCTAGTTGCCTGGCTATTATACTGTCCACCTGGCTTCAGTACTTTCTTGCATTCTGAGTCAGTGACCCGGAACAAATAGTCTGGACTGAAAGATCTGTTAGTTATTCTAAAAATCCTTTCCCCTTTTAACAAAATAGTCAGTAAAACGGTGTTACATTGTATTTAAAGGGATAGCCAATAGTTTTTAACTGCTGGTGGTAGGCACACACACAATAACCAGCAGGTTACTGAAAGCTTGATAATGGCTGCTTACTGAACAGTCATTGGAGATGTGCCAGTAGACCTATCTGCATACCACGGCTTACAACCCTTCGGTATAAACTCTGGTTTTGTAGAGTGTACTGAATTGTACTGCTAGTAGAATCCAGCTTGTAATGGTAATAGTAGACTAACATACATTCCATACATTCCAAAACAGTTGCCACACTTTCACCTACTAACAATACAAACAGTGACAAACGTCAAGGAAAGCGGGACAAAGGGATTTGGTTCCACAAAGAGGGACAACTGAGGAGGAAAGCAGGACAGAGGGAATCGGTTCCACAAAGAGGGACAACTGAGGAGGAAAGCGGGACAAAGGTATTTGGTTCCACAAAGAGGGACAACTGGGGAGGAAAGCAGGACAGAGGGAATTGGTTCCACAAAGAGGGACAACTGAGAAGGAAAGCGGGACAGTGGGATTTGGTTCCACAAAGAGGGTCAACTGAGGAGGAAAGCGGGACAGAGGGATTTGGTTCCACAAAGAGGGACAACTGAGGAGGAATGCGTGACAGGGGGATTTGGTTCCACAAAGAGGGACAACTGAGGAGGAAAGCAGGACAGAGGGATTTGGTTCCACATAGAGGGACAACTGAGGAGGAAAGCGTGACAGAGGGATTTGGCTCCACAAAGAGGGACAACTGAGGAGGAAAGCGGGACAGAGGGATTTGGTTCCACAAAGAGGGACAACTGAGGAGGAATGCGTGACAGAGGGATTTGGTTCCACAAAGAGGGACAACTGAGGAGGAAAGCAGGACAGAGGGATTTGGTTCCACATAGAGGGACAACTGAGGAGGAAAGCGTGACAGAGGGATTTGGCTCCACAAAGAGGGACAACTGAGGAGGAAAGCGGGACAGAGGGATTTGGTTCCACAAAGAGGGACAACTGAGGAGGAATGCGTGACAGAGGGATTTGGTTCCACAAAGAGGGACAACTGAGGAGGAAAGCGTGACAGAGGGATTTGGTTCCACAAAGAGGGACAACTGAGGAGGACAGCGGGACCGAGGGATTTGGTTGCACAAAGAGGGACAATTGAGGAGGAAAGCGGGACAGAGGGATTTGGTTCCACAAAGTGGGACAGTCCCTCCAAATCAGGGACAGTTGGGAGGTATGTACATGGTTCCCTGTTCTTGCTCCCATAGTACCTTTATTTCATATCAAAGCTATGGCAGGTTGTTGGGGAATAAGACAGAGCCCAGAGGTACATTTGGAGCTAACACTACATCTCATTACATGTAGCTAAAATGTGCTCGATAAGGCAGATTCTGTGTACCTTAAACAAGCTTATTGTCTAGCCATATGAATATTATCATTAAAATACAAGATAAGAAAAGGCATGCCTTGACTGCATCATTGGTTAAAAATTCCTGCATTGCATATCTAATTTCTGCCATGCAACACTATGATATCCGATTATCATTATGCTCAGACACACAAAGAGATAGTCATAAAGGACTATTGTAAAGGTTGATACTGATAGAATGTGCATGTGTGCGGCCAGCATCACTCACCAAAAAATCCCTCTAGATCCCCCAATCGGATTCTCTGTTCCCTTCACAATGTTCTTTTATCACAAGGAAGTAACAGGAAATTTTACAGTAAAGTGAAAACATTCACTGAAGTTTCTGGTA